CCTTTGTTTGTAGATTACGTTCATTCATCACGTTGAAAATAAAATGTATTGTTTCTTTGCAGCGTTTTATAGATCTGACCGTTGCAGCTGTGTTGGGTTTTTGAGAACTCGACACATTGACACCTAATAAAAATAATGTATAAGGTATACAAAGGGTATTTCTTTTATTCGTAAATTATATTCATGCGGATATTTTGACCTAATATCATTATAACTTTAAAGTCCGTATACTATAATAGGTATATATATATATATAATGTTTGTGTTCAGAAAAAATTTTAGATTGTCATTAAAATTTTCTGGCGAAGAAAACTCCAAAAATATACACAATTTTTTTATTAATGTAGGCATAGTAAATAAAACATGTCTCATTAACATGCCCATGCTATAAATCACAATAATAATGTATCTTCACAGTCTTAAGAACATTATTGTGTAATTAATAGAGGCTAATAACCTTAATAATTGAAGCCCTACCTACTCAATAATAAAAAAAAAAAAAATGTAGATAGTATTTTAATCGGTTCGAAGTCCGTGTAAACAAATAATTAACTTTATAATATACACGATACAATTTTATAATAATTGCTGTACTCACTTGACGGATATCAGATGCGAAATTCCAATCAAGGTGGCAGACGCTACTTCGGGAATATATAATTAGCTTTATAATATACATGATTCTTATACTGAAAATTTAGTTTTATAAAATATTTATAGCTATACTCACATGGCGATTTGGTAACGGGTTGTGTTTTGGCCGGCGGTAGAATTCGTTGCGTATTACTGGTGGTCGGGCTCGGACCGACAGTAGCATTTGCATCTAAAGTCTCAGGGAGAGTAGCAGTTGCTACTTTGGATTTATTAAGAATAGCTGCCTCTGGTTCTACGTTTCGAATAAATGCTCTAAATAAATTTACGATTTATTATTAAGAGTATACGAATTTCTTAAACCTTAAAAATATCAAAAATAATATAATACTATTTCTGTACCTATCTAAATACCGATTGTATGGAAAAAGGTTAATTACAATGTCCTTAAATCATATTAATTCCTTTTTAAGAAGTTTGTACTCATGTTTCTCAAATGGTCTCCAATTGAGTTGGTGTTTTTAGATTATTTTCCTATATAAATATTATATATACATTGATAAATTAATACATACTTTTAAACACATTCCAGGAATTATTTTTTATAGATACTAAAAATATAGAAAATGCTGATAAATTTATTTAACACATGGAAATATACACATTAAACAAATTAGGAAATTATACAATTTTAAACATGTCAAGAAAACATATTTAACCGTGTTTATTCAATGTTAATGGCTTATAATCTATATCTATCAATTCATTTAACCAAATATGTAGGTTTTATATATGAAAATAATGGCAAAAAACTAATACATTTAGAGACAGTAATTTTTACAATAATTTACCTAATTAAAATTGATATTATTAAGATGTAATTTTGAGATTTTCAAAGCAATTTTTTTTATTGGGATTTATAGATTTGTAAATATTGTTTTTCGATATTTATAATAATTTTGCAATTATAAGAACGTTTATGTGATATTTAATTACCTATTAGTATTAAACTATAATTTTAGAGTCCAGAAATATTTATTTATTGAAATCATGTATTAGATCAATGAATTTATGGTGATTGTCTTAATTTCCTGTAAAAAATTAGTTTGAATACATCATAATAAACATGTTCTGTGTACCAATATTTGTAGATATTAATTATATAGTTAATTGCAGATAAATTGATATGACACATAAATATATACACATCAAAAACAATAAGAAATTATGAAAGTATAATAATATCATTGAAAACCAATATACCTGTGTAGATAAATATTTTTTTGTATATAAGGTACATTTAACCAGTGTTATTCTCCTAATATATATAATATTTATTTATATGAACAAATATATATATATATATATATATANGTATCTATATGTATTATTTGTATTAAATCCGGTGAAATTAGGTACAAAAACATATGTTTGATCATAATACACATTCTTATCGCAATAACTAGAACATTTATTAATAATAGTCCAAGTCAGACAGATTTTTAGTATAGGCAAACCACTATACTATTCAAATTTTAAACAAACTATATATTTTTAATTTTTTAATATGGTGAAATTAAATAATTGACACATGTCTTCTAAATAATATACACATAACAATCACAATAAACTAGAAAATTTAATATTAAAATTAGAAATCTAAAAGATGTTTTTTAAAGGCAAACTAAAATTCTCCAAAATTTCATACAAAAAAAGGTGTCTTTATGCATTTAACTTGTATCAAATTTAATAAAATTTTATACCAAAACATGTATCTGATCATTAGACACATTACAATAGAGATTTTAAATGCAACATAATAGCTATGTAAAATAAACCAAAACACTGAATGCGTTTAAAAGTATTTAATTTGTAACAAATATTATGAAATTATGTAGCAAAAGTATGTTTAATATTAAAAGTCAAAGTCAGAAGGATGATGAAAGCAAAATGCCTTTCAATTTCAACAAACTATGTGCTTACAAAATTTTTGATTTGTATCAAATATTGTGAAATTAAATATGACACATATATGATTAGAATACACTTTACTATCCCAGAGGTCAAGTCATCATAATTCAATATAAAAAATTGAAATCTAAAGGATGATTATAATAGAAAAACTAATATAATATATAAATTTAAACAAAAACTGTGTCAATATGTATTATTTTCTATCAAATATGGTGAAATTTTATTTTTAAATGTATGTCTGATCAAAATAAACATTTATATCACGATGAACCAGATAATTTAATAATAAAAGTGCAAGTCAGAAATAAGTTATGAATAGGCAAACCACCATGCCATTCAAATTTAAACAAGTTATTAATGAGTCATTAACAATGGTCATTAGCCTGTACAATTAAAAAAAAAGAACTTATGGACTATTTAAAGACTTATTGGCTACGTGGAGATTATTACAGTGTTACAATTTGCTTATAAGGTGTGTTTGGTTAAGAATATAATGATTTTATGTACATTGTTTTCATCAAGTGCTTCTTCCATATTCTGTAGTATTTTAAGTTGATTTCTCATGACCTGGTACTTTTTGCAGTCTTGGATGATGTGTTGAACTGTAACGTCGACGAGGCATTCATTACAAGTGGGTGGAGGGTCTTTGCTAATCAGATGAGAGTCAGTTAGAAAAGAGTGTCCGATTTTACATCTTGTGATGACGACTTCCTGTCGTCTGTTGAAGTGGTCGGGTGGTTATTTTGAGTAAATTCATTTGCAGGGGTTTTTGTAAGGCTAGTAGGGAACTGAGTGAGTCGCTTAAAATTAGAACATCGTTTGATGTGGTCGTCATGGCCGATAAAATTGCTTCATAAATAGCTTAGGTTTCTACTGAGAATATACAAGTTTCGAGCGGAAGTTTGTGAAGAAGTGTGATGTTGTTTAAGGAGATTGCAAAGCCGACGAGTGGATTTAGATGCATCAGTGTATATTTTGGTGAAGAAAGGGTATTTGTCTTGGATAATTTCATGACATTTTGAGGTAATAATATTGGGGTTTGTGTCGTGTTTGCTTTGATGCAGAAGATCAGTATTGATTTTGATTTGCCAAAGCCAAGGGGGATGGATTGGATATGTAATTTTGTTTTTTACGGATGTGTGTATGTTGAGTTTATTAATAAGTTGGAAGAAAATATTTTGGATGGATTGTACGGGGTTTTTTTTATTGGGACCGTTCTATTTGTGATTTTGTTATTGAAAAAATTATTGTACCCTATGTGATTTGGAGTGCTTTTCCTTTTTATTCCATAGATTAGGAGATTTTTTTCCCTGAGTAAATTGAGTGGAGGTTCTCCAGCGAGGCATAATATGCTGTCAGTGGGACTGGTTCTGAAGGCTCCGGTTGATAAACGAATCCCTTCATTGTGGATTGGATCTAATATTTTTAAGAGATTTTCTTTNATGTGTGTATGTTGAGTTTATTAATCAGTTGGAAGAAAATGTTATGGATGGATTGTACGGGGTTTTTTATTGGGATCGTTCTATTTGTGATTTTGTTATTGAAAAAATTATTGTACCCTTTGTGATTTGGAGTGCTTTTCCTTTTTATTCCATAGATTAGGAGATTTTTTTCCCCGAGTAAATTGAGCGGTGGTTCTCCAGTGAGGCATAATATGCTGTCAGTGGATTGGATCTAATATTTTTAAGAGATTTTCTTTGGCTGTAATATAAATTTGTGAACCATATTGTATTTGTGATAGTATAAGAGATTTATAGACAACGTTTAATGATTTTGTGTTGGCTCCCCATGTGTGATGGGAGAGTGTCTTTATGATTTTCATTCTGATTTTGCAGCTACTTTTAAGTTTTTTTATGTGAGGAGTCCATTTAAGTTTGCTATCAAATATCATTCCAAGAATGCAGAGTGTTTCCCGAGTGGGTATCAGAGAATTTTTGAGATATAATTGAATGCTAGGATTAGGTCTAGTGTGGAAGGTAATGCATTGGCTTTTTCCTGCAGAAAATTTGAAGCCAGTTTTAAGAGACCAATCATGGAGTACATCTAGAGAATTTTGTAGTATTTCTGCAGTTTTTTTGATATTTTATCCACTGCAGTAGATGTGGCAGTCGTCAGCGAATAATAAGTATTTAGTGGGTTTAGGAATGTTTTTGAAAATGTCGTTGATGGCTAATAAAAACATTGTCATACTAATAACAGATCCTTGTGGGAGGCCGTTTTCTGTTGGGTGGATTTTTAAAAGTTCTGCGTGAGCTCTGACTTAAATTTTGCGATTTTTTAGGAAATTTTGTAAGAAGAGAAACATTTTGCTATTTATGCCGCTTGTTTTTATGATTTTGAGGACTCTATTACGCCATACCATATCGTAAGCTTTTTCTAAGTCAAGAGATATTAGTATAACATGTTGTTTTTGATTTCTCGCATTACAGATATCAGTATGGAGGGTGGAGAGTATGTCGATAGTCGAGTGGTTTTTGCGGAAACCGCATTGTTCCTTAGTTATTATGTTGGATGATTCAAGGTGCCAGATGAGTCGTTTATTGACCATTTTTTCCATGGTTTTTGCTAGCGTGTTAATAAGTGAAATAGGTCTGTAGTTGGTAATATTGAATTTGTTTTTATTTGGTTTAGGTATTGGTATTATGATAGCATTGTGCCATTGATTTGGGTATATACCTTTGTCCCAAATAATATTAAATATTTGGAGGAGAAGGTCATGGCCTATTGCAGGAAGGTTTTGAATAAAAGAAAAAGGTATATACGGGTCAGGACCGGGGCTTTTACTTTTGCATCCAGCTAATGCATTATTGAGTTCATTACGACTGAAAGGGATTTGTTCGAAATCCTAGAAATGAAAATTTTATTTTTTGGAGAGACGATTTTTTCTATTGCTAACATATACTCTTTTTGTAGTATACCATCAATCGAGTTAAAAACTAAGCCTTGTTCGCGGCTAGGCGTCTTTTACATGGCGACAGCAGACGCGAAGTTTATATTATTATTCGTCGTATAAGATAAATCGTTAATCGGTTGGTCATTAGTGAATGTATTTATATCTGTGTATGGACAGATAGCGTTTGTGTTGAGCTTGTTATTATCGCTGTTCGGTACAGTTTGGGTGGAGGATGGAAGGGAAGTCTTGGTTGTGCTGCGTGGAGTATGATTAATCGTAGAGGAGGAGGGGCCACGGGTGTAACGGTCATTGTCCGCTATTAATGCGTTTTTGTTTGATTGAAGAAATGACTTGGCCTTATATGGTGATTTATAAGATGGTGTTGAAGTAGTGGTTGATGGGGAAACGTTTTTGGTTTTGAGTGTAGAGTAAGAATAATCGATAGTAGATGTATTTGGGCAACTAGGTGTGGAATTTTTGGGCGAAACGCCTGCTAGGTTTCTATTCATAGCGTGAATATGAGGTGGAGGGCGATATATTAATAAAACATATTACCTTTCCTAATGTTGACGTGATTAATATGCTATCGAAGAGCTATAAAACGTATAATACGATAAGCACACGTGTTGCACGGTCGGCTGCTGAACACGAACTGTTTGCATTTATTATACATGCATTAAATATATATTTAATTTTTTTTCAGAATCGCCGAAACCGGTTGACGGTAAATATAGAAGCGAGTTTGAAGAATATATGCGTCAACAAATCCAACAATGGCAAATCGCAGTTGTAAATGGCCAACAAATCTCACCACCCGCGGGGTCACAATCTTCTGGACAGCCTCCATCAAGTGTATGGATTCAAGTCCCGGCTAACGGATATTACCCTCCGCCATCATACCCATATCCGTCGTATCCTCTCCAACAATACCCATCACCATACTCACCTCCGTCTTACCCACCGCCATCTTGCCCATCATCCTCATACCCACCGCCATCCTATCCACCTCCTTCATACACACAGCCATCGCCGTATCCTCAACCGTCACCATATCCTCAACCATCTCCTTATCCTCAACCTTTACCATACCCACAACAGCCATTATATCCACCGTAACCGGTACCAAGTCCAACGACTGATATACCCGAATTACCATCAGAAGCATCCGGAGTAATAACTCCTCAGCCAGAAGTCCCAGTACCAGAATCTCCCGTTCCAGAATATTCATCATCACCAGCACCAGAAAATCCATCCTCGAAAGCACCAGAATATCCATCTACACCATCATCAGAGCAAGCAACTCCGCCTCCAGAAATTGCAGATCCCGATATTCCGGAAATTACGCAAGCACCAACAGATAAGCCGTACCCGACCACATTAAAACTCGAAGGTTCTACAGATTTACCGGAAATTATTCCGGCATATCCGGATACACAACAATCCGAATAACCAGGAGTACCCTTACACCCGGGACAACCAGAAGTATAGACAACTATTCAACTTCGATACATCGTTTGAAAGTTATACAGATCAACCAACTTATCCAGAAAAACCTAGTTCGGAAAATCCCGGAGAAGAACCAGAAGTCACAACAAGTACCGGAACCACATACTCTCCCGACTACGAAGTTCCGTCGTCAACCGGATCCCCATCATCAGACGTATTAAAAGCTCAATGTAAGCAGCCGAGGGGACAATTCCCGAGCGAGAGCTCTTGCAACAAATTCATAAACTGTTGGGACGAAACTGCTATCGAACAAACGTGTCCCGCGGGATTAGTGTTCAACCCGGAAAAGAGTTACTGTGATTATCCATCATACGTGGACTGTGGTTCTAGACCTATTACAGGTAAATACAATATTCCTGTATTTCGTTTTTATAAACGGTTGTTTATTTTTCTACTGTGTATCACAAAATAAAATGTTTAATATGTTTAAAAATTACGATTTAACGTTTATTTTTTCAGTAAACGAAACCAGCAACAATACAAAATGTCCAGATGGCTACGGAACATACCGAAGCAAAGAAAACTGCGGAGCTTTTTACGTCTGTGTAGCCGGATCTCCGGTAGATTTCATTTGTCCCGGGGGCACTTACTACAATGAGGTAAATTTCAGAAACTTTAGAAGAAGAAAAAATCGATATATCATAGTCTTTTTTTTTTATTTGAAATTGTTTTTAGGATTTCAAAATCTGTGACTACCCATACCGCGTGGACTGCAAAGGATTGCCAAGCAATCCCGAACCAATTGAGACTGGAACTGAAGTCGAGCCTAACACTACCTACGCACCTGAAGTGTCGTCCGCCGGCGTTACCACCGAGGCGCAGTCGTCCACCGCGTCGTACGTACTGCTCTCTTCGGCCGAATCTTCGCCCGCCACAGAAGTGGTACCTACCATTACCACCGCCGTTGCACCTGTTGTAGCCGACCCAATAGCTATTTACAACTACAACCTGAGAAAAATCCCAGCGAGTGCGCAGTTTGCTTTACGAATTAATTATAGTGCCACCATCCCAAACCAAAACAGATTTTTTTCATTTCTAGTCACCAAAAATACAATTTTGAGTCGACATTTCCATCGCTGTATCCCCGTCCCCTATATTTTCTCAGAGGTGGCCATTACCTAGCACATTAATAATATCATGTCCGTTTACACGTTTAGGTTTGGTGAACACCGGCGTCCGTTGTAGCCACAAGAACATTTACCGACTCACTCCCGACTGTTCTTCGGTGATCCTATGTCGTGAAGGATTCACACACATACTCAATTGTGGACACGAAACCTCCTATGATATAGTAAGCCAAAAGTGTATGGAAAGCAGAAGAGCGAATTGCATATTTTTACCATGGTACCCCGGTGAACGGGTTCACCGGGGTACCGGTAAAATGCCGCCCGAATGAAAGATGTACTATTCCCCTCCAAGGTCAATTTGTCGTAGTTATGTCGTCGTCGAAAATAAAAGAGAATCTTTTATTTTGGGCAAGTATCCAGCTTAAAAAAGTTTAGTGAATGCAAACAAAATATTAATTCTGAGTTTTTTTTTTAAGTGGGGTGTCTAATCAGTAGTATTTACGACGGAGAGTATTATTTTTTAGTAATCGAACAATGTTTGGTGGGTTCGGACCTACGTTGGCTCAACGCCGTTTAATTTACGATAATTACCTTAATTCGTTATCAAAAGAAGAAAAAGAAAAAAAATAAGAGATAAAGAAATTGCTGATAATGCTTGATAATGGAGATATCACATTGCCGGGACATCAATTCGTCGGACCAGGGAACAGGGTAGTCAACTCTGAAGGTATTTCAAATTTCAACGCATTACCGCACAACACTGTACAGATTGGGTAGCTTCGGAACATGATGTCGACTATCACAACGCTTCGGTTACCGGGCAACGTAATATCAATGACATCGCCTCGTTGGATGATAAAGCTATAAACAATACTGTTAAGGAATGTTTAAGTAAAGATCCACTAGAGAGCTCTTTTCTAATCGGTGGTTTAACTGGTAAACAAGCTCTCGAAAACACTTACAATCAAACAGTCGGCTTCGTGTTTGGAGACAAGGCGGTCTATCCTACATCCAGTTCTACTAGCAAGTCTACAATCGATTGGTTTAGTACGCCCAAGTTCTAGTATTAGTGAACGCCCAACGGAAAGATTTGGTTTTTTTTTTATTTGCCATTGGTAAATATTTTTGGCACGACACTGATCAAATGACTTGTCATACAAACTTCTCATATGGTAACACTGGATTACGAGTAGGTTGTGCCAGCCATTGTATTGATTATTATTGGACATTTTTTTAATAGTTTTATT